GCGTGTACAGACCCTTCGCTTTCGCGGGTCCCTAATGCACGAATAATAATCTGACCGGATCGCGGGGCGGCACGGGAAAGAATATAATTTTGATTTGATACGTCCCGACGGCCGCCGCGGTCCCGGGGCCATCTGCACCGCGCGCGACGACGGTGCCCGGGCCGGTCTCGCTGGATAGTCTCGTCCGCCGCCGTAATCACAATACGCCGCGATGAGCGTGACGCGAGACGGACGCGCGGCGGCGGCGGCGCTGACGAGAGAGATCTATCGGGCCGGACGTTCAAAAGTCGGATCGAGAGTGTTTACGGTACACGTGCGCGCGCGAGCGTCCGTGAAATAACGCGTTTACGCGGATTAGACGACTGTTGTGCGGACCAGACTTGTACAATATCGCGCACGATATTATTGCGGGGCGTCGGTTTTCAGAGCGGATATCCGCGCCCCACTTCGCCGTGAAAATCTCCGCGAACAGACAGACCGCGTGCGATCGCCTTGACTCTCAGACTTTTCCCCGGTCGCGCTCCACTCCCCCACCCGTCCGCAACCGCCCGTAAGCAGGAGTCCGTTTACTGCGTAAACGGAAACCCTTTTGTTACAAAATCTATAATCGAAATTCAACAGTCCATATTTTATTTTCTGTTATGGGTGACACACATTGGGCGAACTCCTATTCTGCCGGTTACATCGCGGTGTGAATGTGATGAGTGTGCGTAGTTATAGCGACGGATCAAGAAAGCGTTGTTTGTTGTAAAAAAAAAAAAAAAAATAGTAATAAAAAATACAAACTCAAATTTAAAAGTTAAACTATACTGTGTACACAAATCCGACCAGAAATTTTGCTCAGATGTATATTACTTTTCAGTTTTTTTAGTTATTGTAATTCAGTTAAAAAAATTCGAAGGGACTTAAAATTTGCACAGAAAACTTATATTTGTCTTTTATAGACGCGTTAAAATTTTCGAAAAATTTGAGCCATTTCTAGGCTTTTTATAAAAATTGTAATATTCTTATTGAAATGCAGTTAAAAATATTTGTGTCGACACTATGGACATAATTCTTATATTTGTTTTTTCTAGACGTGGTAACATTTTTAACAAATTTAATCCATTTTTGAGCTAATTATCATCCTAGGGGTTCCGAGTTCAAACCAATGTTTCGTAAAAAAATTGTTTGCATTTTTTTCCCTTTTACTTAAACAAAGAAAAAACAAATGCATTTTGGGTGTACCTAGCGACCCAAGCCATCACTCGCTTGGATTATTTTAATCGCCAAATACCCCTCGATTTGTTGTGCAAACTTTTCTACCAGAAATTTCTTTAAATGATAACACTTTTTCTGAAAGAAAATCTAATTGGAAAGGTACTTTAGGGAGGTAATTTTCGATTTTCTCAATAGTTTTCTCCGCAAATGTGAAAAACTGGAAAAAACATGGGAAAACCTGGTAAAACGGGAAAATCGGTAAAATATTAAATATTATATTTTTTTATTATTTGTTGATCTCGTTACCATTTTCGGATTCACGACTACGGATCTCCTTTAAATATCTGAAGGAACGTAGTAGCATAATTAGTAGGCTGAACTTTCATTATATTTAAAAATAAATCATTCCTTGTAGTACGAAAAACTAAACCAATTATTTTATATTATATAGATACATTTTAATACCCGCTCTTCTATCTTATTCATTGTAGGTACTTCTAAATAGTAGCTTACTATTTGAATTTTCTTTGTCTTCCATTACTACATATAGTGTCATACTAACCTATTATTTGAAATATCGTATTTTTTGTATTGCTACAAAATATTATTATAGAAAATATATAATGCCTATTTAATTATTTTATTATAATATGACATATATACTGTCGATAAAGCATCGCTATCAACTGAACTGCATTCAGAATCGTTTTTTCGTTAGCAATGGTTTCTCGTTGCTCACAGATATAAATTAAATGACCTATAACAGTGGTTGCACCCGTCTCTATTATCTTAGGATGTCTTTTTTTAAGCGATTAATTTGAAAATAAAACATACGAGTGTATTATGAACTAAAAAGAACAAGTATTTAAAAATTAGTATTTGATTTGAAATACACATATTTTAAAAAAAAAATTTAAATATTTTGTCCAAATACGTTTTTATAAAGTATCTGACATACCTATTTGAGTACTTAAAATGTATTTGAATACTTTTAATCAAATATTTTTAATGAAGTATATTAACCAACACTGCATACATGATGGTTGTGGTTGTGTTGAAAAACAAATTACATTTTAAAAATTAATTATGGGCAAATTTTAATTACCAATTACCATACATAATAAGTCAAAAACAATATTTTTAATAGTCGTTGTATAAACACGTGGACATTAAATATTATTATAAAATTAACGTTTTATAAAATACTGCACCCGAACAAAGCGGTCTTTCGATAGGTACTTTGAACTTTTCATCAATGTAGTAGAATAACGCATTTTCTCTACTGTATAGTTCTATACTGTATACTCTATGTCGAGTTTGAATTAAAATCTCATATAAAATGACATGGTTTCATTTTTAATCACGTCCATTCGCGGAAATGAAAACCAAATTACGAGAAATACTAATTTTTGATTCTGACCTCTGCGAGGATAGCTATTATAGTTTTACAATGATGTGTATTTTTTATTCGATTAAAACTTTCTAGGGAAGCAAATCAGTGTTAAAATTGTTAAAATAAATGAAGAGGAACTATGTTACTTAAAAAAAATTAGCGTCCCTTGCAATTATATTGAACTTAACCTAACCGATGTGGGACTTTGCCCCTCCCTAACAATTATATACTGATTTTCAAACATTATTCAATAATTAAAAATTCACGAAAAATACACTCAATTCCTGCAAGCCAAGTTTTTGCTTACATATTTCATTTTAGTTTCTGAGTAAAGTTAAGAAGCTATTAGTTTAAATAAGATGTTTATATTATTTTTTCAGAATAATTTATGAACTAATAAAAATGTTCAGATTTTTTCATACCATTTCTTAAAAGTTACAGATTTTTTGCCCGGCAATACTTTTTTTGAAACAAAGTTAGTGATTCTAATTAAGTAAATTTATTGTAACATTTTCGTAAAGTTACCGTAAAACTCGTGATTGTAAATAAATTATATCATACGAATTCTCAAACAGTTTTTCAATAAAATTTAAAAATTGGCAATAAATGTCGGTATGTCAGTTTTTTAAAATTTTTTCTGAAAAAAATTATTTTTTGATAAGAAACAAATGTTTCAATTTTTTTCATGTCAAATCTGAAAAGTTACAAATTTTTTGTCTGACGATACTTTATTTGAAACAAATTTCGTAAAATCGTAAAATTGTCATAATAAAAATCATCTTGATTGTAGATAAGTAAAATTATCGAAATTCTTAACAATTTGTATGTAAAATTGTTGAGTTCAGGGTTATCTTGCCCATAAAAATAAGACTATTCATATACTATTTCAATCAGAATCGTTTTTTGATTGCAGTGATCTATTGTTGCTTTCAGTAGGTGTATAAATTAAATCATCATGTATATCCAACCTTCCTATTTATTATTTACCCACCTAAAATAGTAAACATATTTTTGAAAATATATTGTTCTTTACAAGAATCCTTTGTACCATCCCTCCACTCCAATATAAATCATTACTAGGCAATGGAACGCCAAAAAAAAAAAGAAAAAAGTAGTTGAGCTCTGCCCCCTGTGTCTTTTTTCTTCAATTTGAGTACTGAAACTTTATAGATAGGGTAGTATTATACTGCTGCTGATAATTGCTACATGAATAGTATTGTAGATAAATAATTGTACGATTTGTTTGTGTATACCTACTCAGAAAATTGTGAAAACTAAAAAAAAAAAAACAATAATAAAGTTGAACAATTTTTGAAACCTCAACTTTAATTATTCCCGTTATCATCAATTGTTAGAACAAAATCTTTTATCTTAGATGAATTATCATTGTATAATATTTACTCTAACTTACTTTTCTTTGTGTATAGATATTTTAAGGATACATGTATAAGTAACTACTAACTTGTATAAATAATAATACGAATCAATAGGCAAATATTGATTTATATTATTATTTATTAATTTTATTTATTGTGACTCGAGGCTAATATTCCAATGAAGTAAATACGGTTTGAAATAAATACAAGACGAATTAATATCGAAAACCACAAAATCAAACACAATAAAGTCTTGTGAACATTACTAGCTCTTCAAGAACAATTGGACTATTTGACACGGTTAGGTTAGGTTAGATTGGACATATTTATAATTAGTAATTACAATTTATTTATAATTTTTTTTTTTTTGAAAACAGATTTTATATGTTTCCAGAACAATACACATTAATATAAAAACAACGATAATGAAAACGAAACCTTTAAAAATTGGTTCTTTGAAACAAATTATGTTTTTGTGAGAGATTAAATGACGTTTTAATGTCAACGGGCGCGTCTTCATTTGTTTGAGGTAATCACTATATGAATCATGTTGATTTCTTACATCGGAAATCTATAACCATACGTTTACATTGAAATTAATATGATATTCATTAGAAACAATCAAAGACTTATTTAACTAAACAGACTGTATAGATTGTACTTTCGATATACCTACTAACAAAATAAATTATACCACGCGGGACAAAATTGTAAGAAAAATGGTTTTATTTTAAACAAAAAATATTTGAACTTCACAATATATAATACAATTTAGTTCTAATAGAGAGAAGGACTTGAGTTAATTTTGTAATGGTTTTCGATGCAAGTAAATTAAATTTTGAAAATATATACATTTATACCAATTTATGCCAACAAAAAAAAATTAGGTAGGTAAAATTATAAAAAACGACAGAATAGATAGAAATGATAAAATTAATTTAAAGCTTTCTTATTTGATACCGAAGATGTATATTATACGTTTTATTAGCGCAATCCAACTTCACTCAATAAGTCTACGTGAAAATAATTACTTTGCGTCGTAAAGTTATCAAATAGTCCAATCGTTCTTGTGGCGGCAATGTTCTCGACCACAAATAACATCGTTGCAATTGATGCATAGCCCAAAAATAGAGCTTTCTTGTGTTTACTTCTGTGGCGTTCAAATTTAATTCATCTTCCATTTCAGACTGTTTATAATTTATTCCGTTTGAAAATTTCAAAAGTGACAACCCGATAATAATATAATTTATTATTACTTTTCGTAGTATTAATATATTGTATTTCATTTTACACGTTTCCGAATAACACGTAGGCGTTTATAATAGTATAGGTACGTAACTATAACTGAAAATTTACAAAGGTTGTTAGTTTTGTATATACAACTATCGGTTTCTACGGTAATTATATTAATTATAATTTATTAAACCAGTGGCGTAACCGGATCCGATTTTCGTTATTACATTATAAAACTTTGAGTTGTAATATAATCTATAAGTTTATCTATTTATTACATTAGAACTATGTGGTTGACGCTTATTTTGTCATGTCAAGATTATAAGAATGTAAAATTTTCACAAATAGATTTTACATTATAAAATAATTTTTCAAATTCTATATCACAATTTTCTCGAATACCTTGAATGCATTTTTGAACAGTGGATGCAGTTTCTAAGTCTAGACATTATTTTTGAGGAAACTGCATCTATTTAATTTGAAACAGAATCCAAATCATGTAAAATGGATAGCTGGAGTTCCTCAAATAATAATACTGCGTTGTGACGGTCAACTCATCGAGTGGCACATAATGTTTTTAGCTTAAAACTTCTTGTTTCTGGAAAATTAGTTTCTATTGATATTTGTAAAATATTTTTCTTTTTTGGATATCCGAAAAAATGAATCACATTTTGTATAGTACTTATACAGTTTCTAATCGAAGGAACTTTGCAACTATATGTTATAGCCATATTTATACAGTGACCACTACAAATACAAGTATAATGCTCCTGGATATTTATCGCAAATATGTTTTTGAACGATATTATACTTGCCACTCATGGCTGCTGCGCTGTCATATCCCTTGACCAGTTAGATATTAAAATTTGAGTCTAAAATCAGACATAGATTTTAGAATTACACCAGATAGTCCTTTATACCAGACATAACATGAACTTCGATAAACTACAAGAAGTCTTTTCGAATTTTATTTTCAACACCTCTACATAACAAAAATATAATGACATTTGTTCTCTATTTGAAATATCAGTTGTTTTATCTGCCAATATGGGGAATGCTTTAGCATTATTTATTTTGTATACTAATTGCTTGAGAATTAATTTGTTATACACTGATATAATTTCATTTTGAATCATTGAACTTAAATATGTTACATTTTTATTAGCCGTAGCTAAATGATTTTTATGCGTATTGTCGCCAGAATTTTAAATCGAATTAACTCTAAAATTCCCTTGATTGTGAACACTACATTCTTCTTCGCTCACAGAAAGTAATCCTGAATTTCTATGAACTTTTAGCGAAATGCCTTGCTGTCCGCAAAATACACTTTTAATAATTGGAGGAAAGCGAGCGCTATTTTCGTCAATTTATTTTTTTAATGCTTGATTAATTTGTGTACAGACTGAATCTACTTTTTTATTTTGAACTGCATAAAAGTTATCAAATTTTATCTGACCAAGTACTGGTTATTTTGATGATACTCAAATAAATTTTTAGTTTTCTTCCAATCAACATATTTTTCTACTACTAAATATCCCGGGGTTCGATGAATACCTTTTCTTAACTCCTAAGCCGTCTGAAGTTGGAAAAAAACACAGGTATAACAGAAAGCACAATTATATATTTTAGAATAACGGAGCGATGGAAATTTGACTCAAAATAATTAAAAATATTTTTTTGGAATTTTTTACTGATTTTATAATAATTGTTCAAATAGCACGTATTGCTGACAAATGAGTACTGAGACTACTATGTCTCAACTCACAATAAAAACATAATATTAAACACATTGATCGTAATAAAGATATAAGATATGTTCGTCGCGAAACATAAGAGGAAAATAATTTAAAAATAGCTTTAAACGTAAATCCAATCACATAGCCATGTAAGTGTTTACACAGTGTCATAGAGCTATTATTATATACACACCATACTGGACTGGACTCATATATATTATTAATTTTTGTAAGCTTTTAAGTGTAACAACACTTAATTATTTATTTTAAACTGTTTGTATTTTTTTTTTTTAATTTCGAAGACATTTTTTTTTTTTGGGGGGGGTTACAAACCCCGAACCCCCCTATGGATACGACACTGTATTTATATACTAAAATATTAATATTTGACATTTTCGGTATAGCAAAAGGATACATTTTCTACGCACCTAAAAATTATATGGTGCATTTGCGATATTTGATACACCCTAACTACACGCCACCGGTGTTTAAACAAACATGGGTTTATTAATGTATTTTTGCGATTCGATAAATCTGATTTTAATTATTAAAGTTTCAAAATTACACAGTGTGAAAACAAAATATAAATATAATATGCATCTAATATTTGAGCTTATTACTTTCAACAAAAATGAAAATTTAAGGTTTTATCTATATATCACCATATATAGATAAAATCAAATCATATTAATTCATGTCAAAACGACCTGTTAAACTATATAGATGGAATTTGCTGTATATAACACATTTTAAAAGCTCACAAAATATTCCATTGTATTTTAGTATTCAAGAAATAACAATTCGGTTTCAAACACACATACATTTTTATATGCTACTCCATCATATTCGGTGAAATCGATTAATAAATTATTTAATTGAAAAATATTTACGAAGTATTTTTTTGTTACAGACTAAAATAAAATGTGCAATAATGACACAAACAACAGTATATATTGAATAATACGTACTTAAATTAATTATGAGCACCGACATAACATTTTTTTAGTTTTCATTTCACAATTTTGTATTTGGCATATAAAAAAATCATATTAAAATGTAATGATCCGAAACAAAAACAAATATACATCCGGTCGAGATAGGGGCGAAAAATTAAGTCTCACGAGAGACACGTTGGAAAAAAATAAAACTAAAAATAAAAACCTTCCTGTGAAAAGGAAAAGAAGTTTCTTGGTCGGTCGGTCGGTCGGTCGCTAAATAATGCACGAGTTCGGCTGCGGCGACGGTACCGGAAAATCTCAGATTCATCAAAATTTCATCAGTAAATACCAGTAATGAGGATATCTAATAAAAATTTAAAGGAAAGCAGATAAAAAAGTTGTGTTGCCAGATATACAGTGAAACGAATTTAGATAAACAGCCGCGCATTGGCTGACTGCTCATTCCCAACGCCCCAAATGTCTTTCACTCTTTTTTCTGTTTTCTTCTTCCTAGTTCCTTTTTTATTTTATTTTTTTTATTTCATTTTTAAGGTCTTATATCAACGACGTACTGTAATTGAAAAGCACTCTGAAAGTATATTCTCTTTTTTTTTCTGTAAAATAAAAAAGAAATTTCTTTTAAATAAGTGTGAAAGTAATCTCCAATAGCAGCCGAGGCACAAGTTGACATTCACATCACCAAACTTTTCAGTTTTATCATTTTACTACTTTTCAACTCCATTACATTATGACTGCAATAATATTTTATTACATATACTATTTATGTACGTATAAAACTTTAAAAAAAAAAAAAAAATATATTTGTTTGACAATATTATTATAACATTTCATTTGCGCACGATTTAAGTATAGATTTCTCCGTATAGCTGCAGACATTTCATTCTAAATTGCATTGTATTTTTTTTTTTTTTTAATGACGAAAGTAAATTAATACATATTCTATGTGTAGATGAAGTGATAATCGTTTTTCTATTTACACGTTGTCGGAAGGAGGGTCTTTGCAAATTTTGACTATACGAGTATAATATAGGTGATAGGTACTGTTATTCCGTAATCGAATAGCTCCCCTATTAACACAACGAATCATCAAAAATGCACCGCAATCATTGCAATTCGGTTTAAAATAATCATAGCTACCTAAAATTCATAGAGTACTTATATTAGCTTTCTCTAGAAGCGATGAAATGTTCAAATCGTTCTGGCGATTTTTCAGTTGTTTATCGAAATTGTATAGTTCTTTAGCTTTTATTTGGCAGCTATTTAATTTCAAAACTTATACAACCGAACTTCGCTCAGAACCGTTATTCGTTAGCAATAGTTTATCGTTGCGTACAGATATAAATTAAAATACTATATGTATCCTATATTTCCTACTTCCCATCTACAAGAGTGGCGCACCTATCCAATAGTAGTTGTGACGAGATAGTTCTGTGAGTCTGAAGGCTTGTTTTTTTTTTTTTTTTAAATAAGTGGATGGGTTGTTTGGTTATTTGGGAAGACGTAAGTTAATTCTGTTTGTGCGCTCAGTTGTTCTAAACTACGCAACGGATTTTGATACGGTTTTCACAGTTTATACATTTTTTCCCCGTAATTCCACCTAAGGGAATCTAACACAGAGTTATTGGTATTTTTGGTATACGAAAATCGCATTATTTTTTGTTGATTGGGTTATGGGTTACTTTGGTGATACGGAAGAAATAAAAAAAGTTAAAACAAACAAATAAAATAACTATAATATAATAGTTGTCGCGAGTACACGAGCAACGAACAGTATAGTTGAAATAGAAATTGGTGGTTACCTAATTTCACTGTTGGACTGTATTTCTTTTGGCACGGTTCACGTCAAACGGGACAATTATTTATAAATAAATGCACATTGTATTTTATAGGAAGTAAAGAAAAGTCGATGTTTTATAATTAAGTTATAAACAAAACATTTTCTGTCCCTTGCATTGATAGCGTTGGCTAAAATTTATGAGATACATCAAAATAATGTACTACGGAATTGTGTATCTCAAAAAAGATTACAGTAAATTTCACGATGGTAAAGAGGTTTTTGTTATTTTTCGTACTACACATTTTTGTTCTGAGTAAGCGATATCGTCATACGTTTTCAACATGAAGTTTTGTATACAAAAAGTATATTAAAGTAAAATGTTTCGGTTTTATTCCTCTTCTAAATCTCAAACACTTACTACAATAATAATTTTGTACCTACTAAATCAGATAAACACAGTTAATACCGGTTAACCT